GCAACTCCCTGGGACATCGTTTCTTGATGGGCTGGTGAGGCCAAGTACGCGAAGCGTCTAGAAGTTGTGCGGCTCAAGAGCAGCGAGCTCCGAACCGCGCCAAACCAGAGAGGTTGAGAATTCCGCTCATGCAACTGGCCTCAAGCCTTCGGTCGGGCATGTCCTCCTACAGGCGGAATTTGTACGAAAATGAAAAATAGTCAAACAACATATTCATAAAATACTCAAACATAATCAAAACATCGTCCCCGGACAATTGCTTTTACTATTTTTGAATATTCCTCCTGTGGAGGGACACGCCCGACTTAACTCGCGCCAAGCCAAACCAGGGCCAACCGAGGCAAACTTCGAAGACCTGTCAGGCGGGACGCGCCGCTTGCACGGAGGCCGCACAAGGGTAAGCGAGGGGCCAAGCCAAGCTAACTGCGAGGACCTCCCACGCGAAGCTTACTAAACCAGGCTGCACCCACTCTCCCTGGAGATTGCGTACGCCTCATGGGAGCTTCTGGAGACGCGCGCCCACCGTTGCGGAACTGGCCTTCTGACCTGCGCGTCAACCAATGAGAACAGGGCTGAGCGCAAACGCCTTGGAGTGACGCTCGACAAGAAATGTCTGAGGCTGCAGAGTGTCCATGTGCCTCTTGAACATCGCCAGGTCCCATGGAACCCCCTTCAATCTTCCGAAGCACGTCCCCCATACATTCGACGTGTTTTTGTTGTCCGGTACGTGCCCTCCCCTGGACATCTCCACCACTTCGTGGGCACCAGGTCTGCATCCCGTGCATGCTGTTCCCCTCCGGACAGGCTGGGGCTGTCAGTGGAGGCCTGGAAAGGGTCACCAACACCAACACAGGGGGGTGCCTCCTCAGGGGGAAGATGATCCTAGATGTCGATGTTGGAGGTCGTATTTCGGTCACCTGAGAAGCCAGACTATCACCGCCAGCACCGAGATCGGGAGCTTCCTCCCTCGGTGGAGGCACACCGACGATATTCGGTGTTGGTGTCAACCTCGAGGCCTGGGCTGTCAGATGGAACGAAGAGAGCTCCCACGACCCGCCTCACACACCCTGCATCTCCGGTGGCGGCCATGAGGGGGGCGTCCAAGAGGAGGGGGGATGCAAATCATGGCCGGCGGCACGTGCGCGGCCCAAGGGAGGCCAGGGACGCAATGGAATCAGAAGAGGCGCCGCGAAACCTGGGGAAATATCATGGCCCAGGCCATGATATACCCAGAGATCCGATGCCGTGACTTGGTCACTACGGGGTCCCCGGAAGTTCCGACCCATTCCCCAGGACCGGCTTTTCACCCCGAGTCGTTTCTTGACGGTCCCGAGGCCCGCCGAAGGCCCCTGGGGGCCGAAGCTTGCGAAAAACCTACGCCTTGACTTTTCCAACACGTTGGATCTCTGGGCATCCCCCCCCCTGGTCAGCCAGAGGGGTTCTTCGCAGGATCCTGCAGGATCCGGTGCCCTGGCTGACCCCGTTTGCATCGAACCCCGTCTCTTGAGCCACCCTGGTCATCACCCCCCTCTCTGCCGCCCCCGACACCCGTGGCGCGGCCGCTGGGCCCAGCGCGTGCCGGCGCCTCCCCGAGGGCCTGTAGCCCGCCCCGCGGCCTCGCCGAGGGGCGCTGCTGCACGCCAGCGGCCGCCAGGCCCCAGGCAGGGAAGGAAGCGGGTGGTGCTCCCCGGGGGTCCCTCTGAGTTTGGGCTGTTTTTCCTTAGTGTATTTTGTTTTCGTCCAAAACCCGCCTGTAGGGGAAGATGCCCGACCTAACTTTGGAGTCCCGAAACGGTGCGGTGACAGACCGTGCGGTGACCTCGAAATCCCCCAAGACCTCACCGCACGGTCCGTCAACGCACGGTTTTGGGACCTCGGATGCCCCAGTCGCACGAGACGTCCTCGCGGAGAGCGACCCGAAAACCGTGCGGTGGCCCCGAATCCCCACCGACTCACCACACGGTGTGGTCACCACCCCGTTTGGGGGCCCCCGAATCCCGCCGCGCGCTCTCGGGTGGGGATCGCCCGGAACAGCACGACCCAGGCACGATCGCGTCTTAAAAAAGTCAGGGCGGGAGGTTTTTGGCAAATGTCGGCCACGGGGGGCCCTGGCCGGGCCTCGGAACCGTCAAAACACGACTCAGGATGAAAAACCGGCCCCCGGGGAAAGGGTAAGAACTTCTGGGGACGCCGTCCTGAAAAATCAGGCTGTCTGGGTATTGGACTGTGCAAAGGCACGGAACGAACTCTCGGACGGAGAAGTTGGCCCCAGCTGCCCCATCGAAACTCGGGGGCGCGCAAACATGGATTAGCGATCCATGGATTTGGCGCGCGGCACTTCCCCAAAATGCGGCTGGTGCCGCCTCGTTCGGCGGCGGAAATCCGCAATCTCCCATGGAAACGCAACCCGTCGCTCATCCACGCCCCCTTGATCCATGTTTGCGATCGCCTGACCATCGAAACAGACACAGCGTCCAAGATCGAGGCTGCCCCTCCGAGCTCCTCCCCCCTCCTCTTCGGGTCGGCCACAGCTTCCACCAACTCTCCCCGAGGCCTCTCGGCGCCCTCTCGTGCCGCTGCTGTCACACTTCGCATGCGGCGGGAAAAGGGGTGCCTCAGCATGATCATCATCATCATCATCATCATCATCATCATCATCATCATCATCATCATCATCATCATCAGCATCATCATCATCATCATCATCATCATCATCATCATCATCATCATCATCATCAGCATCAGCATCAGCATCAGCATCAGCATCAGCATCATCATCATCAGCATCATCAGCATCATCATCAGCATCAGCATCATCATCATAATCATCAGCATCAGCATCAGCATCAGCATCATCACCATCATCACCATCACCTTCATCAGCATCATCAGCATAATCATCATCATCATCATCATCATCATTATCTGCATCATCATCATCACCATCATCATCATCATCATCATCATCATCATCATCATCATCATCATAAGTATCGTCATCATAAGCAGCATCATAATCAGCATCAGCATCAGCACCATCATGATCAACATCATCATCATCACCAGCATCATCACCACCAGTACCATCATCACCAGCATCACCTTCATCATCACCAGCATCGTCATTATCACCATCATCTTCATCACCACCATCATCGGCAACAACATCATCATCATCAGCAACAGCAGCAACAGCATCATCATCATCATCATCATCATCATCATCATCATCATCATCATCATCAGCATCAGCATCAGCATCAGCATCAGCATCATCATCAGCAGCAGCAGCATCGCTCTCCTCCTCATCCTCCTCTCCCATCGCAACCCTTCCCTCCCTCCTTCCTCCCTCCTTCCTCCCTCCACTCTCTCCTCCTCCCTACTCCCTCCTCCTCCCCCTCCTCCTGCTCCCGGCTCCCTCCTTACTCCTCACTCCTCCTCTCTCCTCCCTCCTCTCTCTCTCTCTCTTCTCCCTCCCTCCTCCTCCTCCTCCTCGTCCTCCTCCTCCTCCTCCTCCTCCCTCATCCCTCCCTGCCTCCCTCCCTCCCTCCCTCTGCTCCTCCTCCTCCTCCTCCTCCTCCTCCTCCTCCTCCGCTCCTCCTCCTCCTCCTCCTCCTCCTCCTCCTCCTCCTCCTCCTCCTCCTCCGCTCATCCTCTCCTCCTCCTCCTCCTCCTCCAGCCTTCTTCGTTGTACAGAATTGCTCCCTGTCGCACCTCGAGGCCGGTTCCTCACTTTTCATGACCCCTAAACTTAGACGTTGCGATTGTTTCACGGATAGAAGGCGGGTCGCTTTCAAAATGTAACTCTCGCCCCAGCGCCGCGCACGCTCGTCTTAAAGGTTGCGAGCATTTCACGAATGGAGGTCGGGCGGTTTTCAAAATGTGGCTCTCGCCTAAGCGCCGCGCACACTCGTCTCAAACATTGCAAGAGCTTCACAGATGGAGGGCGGGCTGTTTTCGAAATGAGGCTCTCGCCTTGGTGCGGCGCGCATTCGTTTTCAGAGTTTGCAAGACTTTCACAGATGGAGGGCGGTTCCTTTCCAAAATGTAGCCCTCGATTGAGCGCCCCGCACATTCGTCTTCAGAGGTGGCAGCTGTTTCACGGTATCTCAAAGTGAACGTCCCAAAGGCGGTATTTTGGCACGATGTCGGAATGTCAGGGCGCAATACTCATGTTGATTCGGGGAGGTACTGAAGTCCCAAGGGTAGCGTGTTGGCGTGATTCTGGTGATTCGCGGCGTTGAAGTCCCAAGAACGGTGTTCTGGCACAGTTCTGGGTTTTCAAACGGGTGTCTTCCAACGGGGCACTTCCCTAAGTAAAACGAAACCCTTGTAGAGGCCTATGAAGAGGGAACTTGGAGGAAGGGTTTCTTGCAATATCGTTGCTTCGTCTTGGGTTTGCAGTGGTCCTCCTCCTCCTCCTCCTCCTCCTCCTCCTCCTCCTCCTCCTCCTCCTCCTCCTCCTCCTCTCCCCCCTCCGCGCGCGCGCTCCCGCGCGCGCGGGCGGGGAGGGGGGCAGGGGGAGGAGGGGGGCAAGGGGAGTGAGGGCCGCGGATGGTTGGAGGGAGGAAGGGAGGGATAGGATAGGATAGGACCGATCGCGAAGCGAAGTTACACGACCGAAGCACTGGGCACGAACATGAGAGGTGGAGAGAGGAGGGAAGAAGGAGAGAGGGAGGAAGGAGGAGGGAGGGAGGGATGGAGGAGGAACGATGGAGGAGGGAGGGAGGGAGGGTTCTCGAGGGGGCTTCTACGCGGGGGCGCAGGGAGCTCCCTACGGAGTTCTATTGGGGGTTCCAGGGCTGGACTGGACTAGGACGCGGGGGGAGGGGGAGGAGGGGGGAGGACGGGGGGAGGAGGGCAGGAGAAGGGGGAGGATGGGTGAGGAGGACTGGGAGGAGGGGCGCGGGGGAGGGGAGGAGCGAGGTGGGGGGGGGAGGAGGAGGAGGGGGACGAGAAAGGGGGAGGAGACCCTCAGCGCAGCAATGGGCGGCAGGGGCCTCTTCGGCCTCAGATCCAGCGTCGGACATGGCTCCAGCGGTCTGGAGGCTGGACAGCTGCGCCCGGGCGAGACTTGGAGCTTCCTCCCTCGAGCCTGGCTGGCGGAGCAGCAGGGTGAAGAGAGGAGCAGGAAGATCGGGATCACGATCGAGCCGCCAGGGTCAGCAGCAGGGCGCTGGAAGGCTTGTGCGCCAGGGGTGGGTATGATGCGTACGTACGGGGCTCCACAATCTGTCGTGCCCAGGACGCACCGCGGAAAATCCACTCCTCCTCGTCCTCCGCCTCCTCCTCCTCCTCGTCCTCGTCCTCCTCCTCCTCCTCCTCCTCCTCCTCCTCCTCCTCCTCCTCCTCCTCCTCCTCCTCCTCCTCCTCCTCCTCCTCATCGTCCTCCTCCTCCTTCTCCTCCTCCCTCTCCTCCTGCTCCTCTTCCTCCTGCTTCTCCAGCTCCACCCCTCCCCCTCGCTGACGCGCGGTCGGCCTTACAATATCATAGGGTGTTCGTCCGACGACTGGCAAGCACCTGTCCTCCACCTCCCCTGTGCAGACGCCTCCTGGAGGCGCTGCGGGAGCGCCGCCGGGCCCCCCCCCGAGCGTGCCCGTGCACGCCAGCAAGCGCCTGCGGCCCGAGCGCGCCCGTGCGCGCCAGCCGAGAAAGGCCGACCTTCACGCGCCATACAGGCCCAACGCAGCATCAGGGTATAGATACGGCATTGAGCGTGCAGTTAAACGTTGGAGCCTGAGCCCTGGCCCATTCTAGTCCTCCTCCTCCTCCTCCTCCTGCTGCTCGTCCTTCTCCTCCTCCTCCTCCTCCTCCTCCCCTCCTCGAACTCCTCCGCCTCCTTCTCGTCCTCCTCCTCCTCCTCCTCCTCCTCCTCCTCCTCCTCCTCATCCCATGTGTCCCTGGCGACACTTCGCGGCGCTTCGTTCGGGTGAGTACTTCGTCTGGTGAAAGAATGCCAGGGCACGATCCCTGATCGCCTCCACTTCAATTCCAGATAGAGAGAGGACGTGTGTATATGCCATGTCGTAGTCCATGCCGTCTTGCAAAACTCCTCCCAAGAAAACCAAACCAACGAGTAGGGCTCCGATGTCACGTCCAAAGGCACAACAATGTCGCATAATCTGCTGAACTTCGACCCGCCACGGAAGACTGCGTGCAACACCGCTCCAGCACCGCTCCGTCTTCCAGCTAATTGCCGTCAGAATTGGCGGCGGTCGCACCAACGTAGTGAGCAGTCCTGCAGGTTCACCACGCTGCCGAAATCCGAGTAGAACCCCCGATACGCGTGCAAGCCAAAATGATACCACGATGCGGGCGGCGTTCAATCCGTACTGGATACCGATTTCTCCAGCAACGAACCACGCCGAGTGGAAGACATACTTGCAGAGATTGCGCTCGACAGCCATCCGTTGAGCCAGCTGCGTACGAGCTGCGAACCGCCAAAAACGATGCACGGAGGTGGCCAGAGCGCCCACCTGAATAGGTCTACATTTCTGACTGCATCTCGGGTGGAGGTGCTGCCCGCATGCGTTTCGCAGGTGGCGCCTCATCATGCGACCTGCTGCTCGTGCGCGATTGCCAATGCTCGTCCACGACCGCCATCCGAAGACCTTCAAACACAAGGGTTTCGGGAAGCATCGAACTTGGGCATCCAATCATTGCCAGCGGCTAAAGACTGCCAGGTATCGCCAACGTGTTTGTCGAAGATGCACTCCCACAGCGTGCTCGGGTGTCCCTGCCTCTGTGGCGGGTGCCTGTAATCAGCATGCGTTTCGGGCCTCTCGGGCAATGGTACTTCGCCACCACAGGGCAAAACTCCAGTGCATGATACGACGGGGTGGCTGCAGAGTCGTGCGCTTCGACCTTTCATGTTGCATCTCGGATGCCATGGCGCACACTTTGCGCAACACGGCCGTCGCTGCAGCGTCGGTGGTCACACATAGTGCCGCCAGGACGGCAGTGCTCGCGCTTCGCAGGACGTGCACGTAAAAATCTCGTCGGGCTGGTGACGATTGCAAACCATACGCCAAAGGCGACGATTGCAACCATACGCCGGAACAGCGCGTTCTCCCAAATCTTCGCTCTCTGGAGAAGCAAACATGTCCACTGGGCGGCGTGCTCGTTCAGGGCATGCGCCAACTCCTGCACCATAACGTGCAGCTATGAAATACCAGAGGCTGCGAGATAGATGGTGTCAGACCACCAGGTGTGCGTGACGCGAGGCCCAATGTCCAAGTGTACTCCAAAGAATCTGGCCTGCCAGCTATCGACGAGATTGTATAGCACCCCGTGCATCACCAGTTTCCATGATAATCACACATCCGCGCACCC